GCATGCGGGCGAGGCCATTGGGACCTTCGCAGGAGCCCCCTATGGGGCCACGAAGCGCTGTACTGGGTGGGTGAAACGCAGGGAGCAAGAGCTGTGCTGGGTGGTGGCTGACGCATGCGGGCGGTGCCACTGGGACCTTCGGTGGAGCCCCCTTATGGGGCCACGAAACGCTGTCCTGGATGGGGGGGGCGCATGCAACCTGCGCCACTGGGACCTTCGGTGGAGCCCCCTATGGGGCCACGAAGCGCTGTCCTGGACGGGGGGGACGCATGCAACCTGCGCCACTGGGACCTTCGGTGGAGCTCCCTCTGGGGCCACGAAACGCTGTCCTGGGTGTGGGGGACGCATGCAAGCTGCGCCACTGGGACCTTTGGTGGGGCTCCCTATGGGGCCACGAAACGCTGTCCTAGGTTAGGGGGGCGCACGCAACCTGCGCCATTGAGACCTCCGGTGGGGCTCCCTATGGGGCCACGAAGCGCTGTCCTAGATGGGGGGACACATGCAACCTGCGCCACTGGGATCTTCGGTGGAGCTCCCTGTGGGGCCACGAAACGCTGTCCTGGGTGGGAGGGACGCATGCAACCTGCGCCACTGGGACCTTTGGTGGGGCTCCTTATGGGGCCACGAAACGCTGTCCTGGATGGGGGGGACGCATGCAACCTGCGCCACTGGGACCTTCGGTGGAGCTCCCTATGGGGCCACGAAACGCTGTCCTGTGTTAGGGGGACGCATGCAACCTGCGCCACTGGGACCTTCGGTGGAGCTCCCTATGGGGCCACGAAGCGCTGTCCTGGATGGGGGGGCGCATGCAACCTGCGCCACTGGGATCTTCGGTGGAGCTCCCTATGGGGTCACGAAACGCTGTCCTGGGTGGGGGGACGCATGCAACCTGCGCCACTGGGACCTTCGGTGGAGTTCCCTTGTGGGGCCACGAAGCGCTGTCCTGGGTGGGGGGGACGCATGCAACCTGCGCCACTGGGACCTTCGGTGGAACTCCATATGGGGCCACGAAACGCTGTCCTGGGTGGGAGGGACGCATGCAACCTGCGCCACTGGGATCTTCGGTGGAGCTCCCTGTGGGGCCACGAAACGTTGTCCTGGGTGGGGGGACGCATGCAACCTGCGCCATTGAGACCTTCGGTGGAGCTCCCTATGGGGCCACGAAGCGCTGCCCTGGGTGGGGGGACGCATGCAACCTGCGCCACTGGGACCCTCGGTGGAGCTCCCTATGGGGCCACGAAGCGCAACCCTGGGTTAGGGGGACGCATGCAACCTGCGCCACTGGGACCTTCGGTGGAGCTCCCTATGGGGCCACGAAACGCTGTCCTGGATGGGGGGACGCATGCAACCTGCGCCACTGGGATCTTCGGTGGAGCTCCCTATGGGGTCACGAAACGCTGTCCTGGGTGGGGGGACGCATGCAACCTGCGCCACTGGGACCTTCGGTGGAGTTCCCTTGTGGGGCCACGAAGCGCTGTCCTGGGTGGGGGGGACGCATGCAACCTGCGCCACTGGGACCTTCGGTGGAACTCCATATGGGGCCACGAAACGCTGTCCTGGGTGGGAGGGACGCATGCAACCTGCGCCACTGGGATCTTCGGTGGAGCTCCCTGTGGGGCCACGAAACGTTGTCCTGGGTGGGGGGACGCATGCAACCTGCGCCATTGAGACCTTCGGTGGAGCTCCCTATGGGGCCACGAAGCGCTGCCCTGGGTGGGGGGACGCATGCAACCTGCGCCACTGGGACCTTCGGTGGAGCTCCCTATGGGGCCACGAAGCGCGCAACCCTGGGTTAGGGGGACGCATGCAACCTGCGCCACTGGGACCTTCGGTGGAGCTCCCTATGGGGCCACGAAACGCTGTCCTGGATGGGGGGACGCATGCAACCTGCGCCACTGGGATCTTCGGTGGAGTTCCCTATGGGGCCACGAAACGCTGTCCTGGGTGGGGGGGACGCATGCAACCTGCGCCACTGGGACCTTCGGCTGTCCTGTGTTAGGGGGGACGCGTGCAACCTGCGCCACTGGGACCTTCGGTAGAGCTCCCTATGGGGCCACGAAGCGCTGTCCTGGATGGGGGGGACGCGTGCAACCTGCGCCACTGGGACCTTCGGTGGAGCTCCCTGTGGGGCCACGAAACGCTGTCCTGGGTGGGAGAACGCATGCAACCTGCGCCACTGGGACCTTCGGTGGAGCTCCCTATGGGGCCAAGAAAGACTGTCCTGAGTGGGGGGGGGGGGGGCGCATGCAACCTGCGCCACTGGGACCTTTGTGATGGCATGGAGGGAGGGGGCAACGGGAGGAGAAGGAGACGCGGGGCACCGTCTCTGCAAAACGAGGACCCAACACCACAGGATGGTTGGGAAAAACAATGGATTTTCGAAGCATTAGAATGAGCAATGTGTAGCGATAGGGGCACCTTTTCCTCCTCTGAACCTCAGGTGCCGCTCTTCTCGGGGTCCTTCTGACCCTGGTCAATCCAGACCCGGGTCAGTCAGGCGTTGCAGAACCCTGCTAGATCCTGCAAGATCCTGCACCCAAGCCCGGCCCAGCGAGAAGGATCCTGCAAGATCCTCCAGGATCTGCACCCAAGCCCGGGTCAGTGCGACCCTGGCCCTGCAGGATCCTGCAAGATCCGGCGCTCTGGCTGACCCCCGTTTGCATCGACCCCCGTCTCTTGAGCCCCGAGCTTGTCGGCTGCACGTAAGAGTGGCCCTGGGTAAGAGTGACGTGCGCGGCTTTTGGGGGGCGCGAGGGAGCCAAACCCAAGGGCGCGGGCCGCTGACACCGCACCGTGCTCGGCGATCGGGGGGAGCCCGATGAGCCCGCACCAAAGGACACTCCAGCGAAGGGCCACTCTTTACGTCTAGCCGAGCTCCTCCCCCGGAGCGCCCACGCCGGCACTGGCGGGGACGCCAGCGCCGAGCCGGGGCGCAGGGCCGCCGGTGCGGCCAGGACCCCGGGCCGGGCACCGGGCCGCGCGGGCGGCGCCGCGGGCGAGAGCGCGGGCGGCGGCGGCGAGGGCAGGTGACGCCGCACCGGCGGGGGCGACGCCGGCGGCGGGCCTGCAGTGGGGGCCCCAAGCTCGGCGGCGAGCGAGGGGGGGGAGCGAGGAGGAGGGGGCCTCCTCAGGAGGTTCGGAGGTCCCCCGGCCTTCGGAGAAGTTTTCTGTAGGCCTTCCCCGAAGACGGCAAGGAGACTTCTTCTCAGGAGGCGCGAGGGCTTCTGAGGAGCCCCGCTGCCTTCTGAGAAGGCCTTCTCCTTCCCACTTCCCCCCCCCGCGCTCGCCGCCGACGAGAAGGTGCCCAGATCTGCGGGGATGCGAGGCTCCCCAAGAACAAGGACCACTGGCTCCCGGAGGGGCTCTCCCGTGTCTTATAGGGGGCCACATGCGAACCCTACCCCTACCTCCCACGATTTCTGAGGGGGAGGGTGGGGTTCACAAGCTCGGGCGGGTTTGTGGCGAGGCGTCGCCACGCTGCCGCCCGTGGCCGCCTCGTGGTCGCCTCGTGGTCGCCGGGTGGGTCCGGCGATGTGGCCGCCTCGCGGCTGCCTCGCGGCCACCTCCGGCTTGCCCCACGCAGGCTGCACCACGTAGAGGAGGAGGCGGGAGGAGGAGGAGGCGGGAGGAGGAGGAGGAGGAGGAGGAGGAGGAGGAGGAGGAGGAGATTACACCACGGAGTGTGCACCATGCGGCTTGCACGTCCTCGGTGCCGTAGCTTCCTGCTTGGGGCCCGCGCTGGAGGCTCTTCGCTGTTCCTCGCCGTCGGCCTCTGGGGCCCGTGAAAGCGGCCCGGGGGCCATCAAATATTGGCCTCGGACGGAAAACTTCTGCCTGGGAAGGGGTCGGTCGGGACCTCTGGGACCGCGGATGGAAGAAAATCAGATCGGGGTACGTCCTGGGGCCCTGCGGCGACCTCCAAACATCCAATGACTTTACCGCGCGGTCCGCCGCCGCACGGTTCTGGGACCTCGGAGGCCCCAGTCGCACATCCTCGGAGAACCCCGGAGGTCCTCCGATGTGATGTTTTCAATCCGCGGCCCCCGGGGTAGTTACGCGTCCTGGATATGTTTTTGATGGTCCTGGGGCCCGATAACCAAACCCCGGACGTCGAAATCAAGAGGAAACGGCAGGATTGAACAAACATATCTTCAGAGATCTGGCACAACCCAAAGGCGCGTTTTGCACGATCCGCGATAACGGCCCCTTCACCTGGTACGGTTCGCGCCAGCGCCGTTTAGGAATGGCCGGGGGCAGGGGATTCCCAGACAGCGCCAGCGCGAATCGTGACGTTACCGCCTCTTGGGGCCTCCTGGTGGCCTCTTGGGGCGGAAGGCTCGGATGTTCGGTTCGTGTTCCCTCTCTTGGCCCCCTTTTGGGGCTGTGTTGGGACCATCTTGGGCCGATTAGGGGCCCTCTTGGAAGCCTCTTGGACCGTCTTAGGGCGGCTTCTGGGGCCTTTATATGGACGCCAGGCCGCTTCGAGAAGCCGCCACGGCGAGAACGCCAAAATCCTTCGAAAACAATCGGGGGATCAATGATTTTGGCCTCTTGGGGCTCCCCCCGCGAACGGCCGTTACTTATCGCGAGAGAAGCGACAACCGGACCCCTGTCCCACAGAAGCCGTGCGGCCGCCCCGAAGCCCCGACGACTCACCACTCGGCGTGGTCGCCCCGCGCCGCTGCGTTAGGGCTCCCAACTTCGCGCTGCGCGCTCCGCGCTCCGCGAAGCGCGAACAACTTCGCGCTCTCGCGCCGCCCCCCCAAAGGGAGAAACGGAGGACGAGGAAGAGGGGGAGAAGGAAAGAGGACGGCGAAGCGCGAGGACGAGGAGGAGGAGGAGGAGGAGGAGGAGGAGGAGAGGAGGAGGAGGAGGAGAGGAGGAGGAGGGAGGAGGAGAGAGGAGGAGGAGGAGGAGGAGAGAGGGAGGAGGTAGAGGACCGACCGCTGAGCTCAGCAGGCAGGAGGAGGAGGAGGAGGAGGAGGAGGGGGAGCAGGAACGAACTTCGCGCCCTCGTGGGAGCCCTTGGCTTTGGGCCCCCGCACGCCTGGCGCACGCGCAGCTGCGGCGCTGGCGAAGGGCCACGTGGGCGTGTCGAGCCAGCCGTAGCTCGCGCTCCAGGAGGGCCTGCCAGCAGGGGGAGAGGGAGGCACCAGACCCCCTCGAGTCCTGAGAGAATCGCGACTCCTCCTCCCCCTCCTCCTCATCCCCCTCCCCCTCCCCCTCCTTCTCCTCCTCCTCCTCCTCCTCCTCCTCCTCCTCCTCCTCCTCGAGTCCTGCGAAAATCGCGATGGGAGGCTTCAGACAATCTTCGCCACAGGCGGGCCCGCGCCAGGCCCCGGGACCGTGCACAAAACGCCTCAGGATAAAAAATAACCGGTCCCGGGGAATGGGAGAAGATCTTTGGGAGCCGGCGTTTGGGAACAGATCACAGCGCCGTGGGCCTGGGAAGGGAAGAGGACGAGGTGGAGGGGTCATCCATCGACTGCCTTCGGCATTAGCGTCAGGAGATGGAGGCAGTGGAGGGGGTGGTTTTGGAGCAGGTGGTGGAGAGCAGGGAGGTGGAGAGAAAGGAAGGGAGACAGAGAGACTGGGACAAGTATTGCAGCGCGTGCGCAATTCAAATAAGACCGCGGTTTGAAATGCAAGGGTGCAGCGAATACGCGGGACGTCATTACAAAACATCTGGCCATGCAAATCGCTGCTATATGTCCTCTTATTTTGAGTCCGAGTCCGAGTCCGAAGCGATCACGGTGTAGAGCGGGGCGAGATGGTTGGATGAAAGGTTATGTGCAACTATCAGAGAGCTGGCTGCCTTTGTACAACTATCAGGGATCTGCCTGAGGCAGTGGCAGACATCTAACAAAAGAGAGACGCCAGCACAAGCACGCAGAGAGATAGAGGTACACAACACAACCACAAAAAAAGAAAAGAGCAAGAGAGAGAGAGAGAGAAAGAGAGAGAGGGAGAGAGGTGGATGAGAAGGACGAGGACAAGGTAGAGGACGATGAGGATGAGGGTATGGAGGATAGGAGGATACGAGGAGGAGGACCAGCGCATCTGACTGTGTTCTGTCTGTCTGCTTACTGTACTGCCACGAGCGCTTCTCGCGCTTCCTTGATGAGCATATCAAGGGTGATGGGGGGGCTGAAACAAGGCCTGCTTCGCATGCCTCCCTTGGGGTGGCGGCAGGTCTTGAAACAGTTCAGGGCTGCGACCTTATTATTGCTGGTGGGGCTCCCAAGGCATTCGCTCTTAAACGCCCTGGGCAAGAACTCACTGTAAGCGCCACAAGCCCAGCAGGCCAAAACGCAGCACCACACACACACACACACCACACACACGCACACAAACCAACAAAAACTATAGCCTCGATCCCCTGGCCACCGCCACTCTCTCCTCTCCCCCTCCCCCCTGCCTTCCTCCTCCTCCTCCTCCACTTCCTCCTCCTCCTCCTCCTCCTCCTCCTTCCCCCCTCCCATCGCCCTTCCTTCCCTCTCCTTTCCCCTGCCCCCCCCCCCCCCTCCTGCCCTTACAGTCACCATCTCCTCCCATCGTCCTTCCCTCCCTCTCCCCTCTCATCCCCCCCCGGCTCCCCTCTGCCCTCCTGCTCATCCTCACCCCATTGCCCTTCCCTCTCCTCTGCCCTCCCCTACCCTCCCCCCTGCCCTCCCACTCATCCTCCTCCCGTCGCCCTTCCCTCCCTCCCCTCTTCCCTCGTCCTCCTCCCGTCGCCCTTCCTTCCCTCTCCTCGCCCCCGCCCCGCCTACCCCCCCCCTGCCCTCATCCTGCTCCCGTCGCCCTTCCCTCCCTCTCCTCTCCTCCGCCACCCCCCTCCTCCGCCGCTCTCCCTCGTAGCACCACCCTCTCCTCCTGCCCGCAGCCGCCGGTCTCGCCCCCTTGCTGAGGGGCAGGGCAACGTCAGGGGGGGGGGGGGGGCTGGCTCGGGTTGGGGGGGGGCAGCCTCGACGAGGACCGCGAGGGCCGAGGATCGACCGTCGACCGCGAGGATCCGAGGATCGACTGTGGGACCCCTGGGCTCTCAGCACCTCCCGTCGGCCCGCCGGCCTCCTCCGCCGGGCCGGGAACTCCGCGGATGCGCGGGTGGCCCGCCGGCAGCGGCCTCCCTGGGCGAGGAGCGGGGCCGGGGCCTGCCTCGGGCCACTGTGGTGGGGCCGCTTTGACGGTGCTGCTGGGCTCTGGCGTGGGGCAGGGCAGGCGGGCCAGGGTGCACCTCTTTTTTTTGTGTTTTGGCGCGAGCAGAAGAGCGACATATGAGCTCCGACGTGTCGTAGAGCACCGAAAGGATATTGGGCTTTGTGCCGCCACCGCGCCGCAGGGCCAGGGTGCACCTCTTTGGTGCGCTCGTGCGCGCGCTCGTTGACGCCTGCGCGGCGAGCGCTGCTCCAGCGTGTCTGACCCCCCCCCCTGCCTGGAGGGGGGCCCGCCGCCGTCGCTGCGGATGGTCCAGTCTGTGGATGACTCCCTCTTATGTTGCATCCTCGGGGATCCTTGTCTGTCCCGTCGCGGCCCTATCTGCGTCGAATCCGTGTCGAATCCATGTCGGCCTCGTCGGATCCGTGTCGAATCCGTGTCGAAATCGCGTCGAATACACGCCAAATCCGTGTCGAGGCTGCAACGAGCCCGCGTCGGGCACAAGAAAAGACACGAATTTGGGGACAGGTGAGGTCCCCCGAAGATGCAACGTAATCCTTCACGCTCCAGCTAGCTGCGAGAGGCATCGCGAGCGCGCATGCAGGTCTCGCGCCTTTTTGCACCACCTACCCGCCACCGGCTCCAGGATGGCGCAAGAGCGCCCACAGCCATGGCTGTTGGCTCGCCCGCGTCTGACCCGGCAGCTTGCGGCGAGGCCGCGGGCGCACCCGTGCGGGGCGCCGCGCAGCCCAAGGTGCTGGGCATCGCCATCGACGCGGAGCTGCCCCTGGAAGCGCTGCTGGGCCGAGCGCGCTCCCAAACTGCGGGAGCCCGCACGGCGCCCGGCAGCGGGGCTCAACTACGGACCTGGGCCTGGGCCTGCCGCTCGTGCCGGACCCGCTGCCGCGCCGCGCAGGAGTCGAGGGCACTCCGTGGCACTGAACTGCTGGCTCGCCACGCCGAGGGCCGGGGCTACGTGGCGGCGCAGCTCAATCGGGGATGGACAGACCCCCCTTTAGCAAAACGCGGTTTAGTGAAAACGACCTGAGGCCCAAACCTGGCGGGCGCAGGCCTGGAAAATAGCGGCCGCGGCGCCCTCTCGAGAACCGCAAACGGACAATTCGCTAATCGACGTGTCATTGTTGGGGGTTCTGTCCACCCCCGACTCAACAGGACGCACTGCAACGTCGCCAAGTGCGTGCTCGGGCTGCCTCCGCACCTTCTGGCCCCGCATCTCTTGGCACGGGCGTGCACGTGAGGGCCTTCCTGGAGACCCACATGCTGACGAGGGTGGCGGCGAAGGTGGCGTAGCGTACTAGTTTGGCTTGGGCTCGGATGCTATTGCTGCCGCCGGGGGGTACCGATCGCACCGGCGATCCGTGCAGCGATGGGCCAGCCAGCGGCCACGTGGGTGCACCACGCCGCGGCCGTCGCGGGCCAGTTTGGTGAGGAAGCCCCTCCGCCATTTCTTGCCGCAGAGGCGGAGCGCGGCCCTGATGCCCACCGCGCCGCCGTCCGTGCTTGGGCGCGCAGCAGCGTGATCCCGAAGATTCGGGAAAGGGAGCGGACATGATTCTGCGAACAACTGGCCCTCCTCAACGACGAAGGCCTTGTCCCGCTGTCGGAAGTGCTGCCCTTGAACAGCGCGTGGCCGGAAGCTCTGCGGTGGGCCCCCTTAGGGCATGACCATGTGGCGCTTCCACAGGGCGTTGTGCGCGGCCCGGATTACGGCCGAGGTGCATGCCTGCGTCTGGGGTATGGTCCGCAATAAAAAGGGCCTACAATCCTTTGGGAGGGGACCTCCATTAGCAGGGCCAGGAACGTTAGGGATAGGACGCCTTTTCTGCAGATGTATCGAGCCAGACCGCCCAAATCTATTACCCCTAATGCGAAGACGGGGGCCTAAGTTAGGCCACGTCTTCATCGTGTTATTAGGGTCAGGGGTTCTTTTGTCCTCGATCAGTTGAGTGCGCGAGAGAAGAGTCGTGCGCTGCGTGCATCAGGGAGGGCCCCACGATGTCTTGGGGATGCCCCCCCTGGGCTGGAGGACCATCCACCTTGTTGGAGGGCGTGCCGGCCCATCCGTTATCGTACGGCCTAGCTGGGCCCCCGAGAGAGAGGGGGAAGAACACAAGTTTTCGGCGCTTCCCCCCCGTTTTCGGCACTTCCCCCCCGTCTTTCGGCTCGTCCCCAAAGCTTTCTCGGCTCTTTCCCCCCGTTTCTCGCTTCTTCTCCCCCGATCCCCTCCCCTCCTCCCGCCATCCGTGGTTTTGGGTGTGCCAGCCCCACCGCAATCGAACGGCTGTCATTGACAGCCTGCCCCTCACGCCTGGTATCCAGCCTATCTGGCGGCATGCTGGGGAGGAGGAGGAGGAGGAGGAGGAGGAGGAGGAGGAGGAAGAGGAGGGGGAGGGGGAGAGGGAGGGGGAGGAGGAGGGGGAGGAGGAGGAGGAGCAGGAGGAGGAGGAGGAGGAGGGGGCGACTTCCTGGGACCATCGGCAAGGGCTTGCGCTGTGAAGTACCATTAAAATGCGAGAGAAAGAGAGAGAGAGAGAGAGAGAGTGAGTCTGAGCGGAGAGTCGCGCGCTGCGTGCACCAGGGCGGGCCCCAAGCGGCTGCCCCCTGGGGCGCCCCTTCGGGGGGCCGCCCGCCACCCCCCTTGCGCAGGCCCCGAGGCCCTGCGGGGACGTGGGCGCTCGCAGCGGGGCGGACCCGCCCCGAGGGGCACCCGCGCTGCACGCAGTCCAAAAATCACGCAGTCCGCTGGTCTGAGGCGGAACGGTCGGGCGACCCGCTTGGGGGGGGGGGCGCCCCCCCCCCCCCCCCCCCGAAGAGGACCCCCCCCCTGAAGACGAGCGGCAGGCCCAGGACCCGCGACGCCGTTTGCTGCTTCCCGGCGCGGCGTGCCTCGGAGTTGGGCCGGGACCGACCGTCCCGGCACTCCTACAGGGCAGTTTTTTTGATACATCGGATTGTTATATATATATATGTAGAATATGGGATGTTTAATACATGACTCATGTATGAATGAATGTATGTATGAGCTCATCGTTGGTTTTAATACTAAATCCTTGCATTCTAATACGTGATCCGCACGCAGAGCATGTATAAAAAAACGGCACTGTAGCCCTACCACGAAATGTTCTCAGAACCCGAAAATGTTCAAATAACAAAAACAATGTTCTTAGAACATAAACCCGACGTGGCAAAGCAAGACAGTCCCAACAAGACATGTTCTAAGAACACTTCGCGGGAACCACAAAAGGTTCTTAGAATATTGTTTAGTAGGGCTATGGGGGAGCCAGGACGCTTCGCCACTGCTTGACTCAGAGGTCCCGGCCCCTCTCCCCGGGACTGGCATTTTCATCCCGAGCCACTGCCCTCCGGCTGAGGCGCTCAGATCCTGCCGTCACGAGCACCCTGGTGAGGAGCCAAACTCTATACACCGACGCTTTTTCCGGCCCCGCATGGACATTCGCGCAGGAACGCGGATCCTGGTGTATACGGGATCCTGGTGTATACATTTTGCACTGTTTCCCTGGGAGACCAGGGGAAAAGGATACACCACACCACCCCGACGTCGCCCCCGACCCTCAAAAAGTCGTGGGATTGAAAAAACAACCCGCCACTGGTAATGTATATGTTCCAGTTTGCGACCTCTCCCCAGGACCGGCTTCTCATCCCGAGCCAGTGCCCTCCGGCGGAGGCGCTCGGATCCTGCCGTCACGGGCACCCTGGATTGATGTTGCCCCCATCGTCCTTAAGGACCACATCCCAGAAATGATTTCGAGCACCCGGAAAAAAGTGTCGACAGAGTGCCGAAACAGTGTCGGACGAGAGTCTCCCAGGGCCCGACACGTGAAAACCCCCGAGTTCTGGTATTTCTTTTTGGTGCTCAAACTTATTTCTGGCGATGAAAGCTAAAGTACGTTGGAACAGCATAACCCTGGATGCCTGGCCCAAGGCGGTCGAAAGGGGGGATACCAAAGGGAGAGGCTTCCCAGACCGGGTCCGAGCAGATGGGGTCGGAGGAGCGCGCCGCATCGATGCTGCATCGCCGGCGCATCCCCGAGGCATCGGCGACGCCGGCGTGGAAAGGATCGAGCGAGTTCCACATCGAGCCGCATCGCCGAGGCACGACCGTGGCGCGCGCCAGAGCAGAGCACAGGGAAGCCCCTGCGCCCCTCGAGGAGGGAGCCCCCCCCCCCCCCAAGAGGAGCGGCAGGGGGAGAGCACCAGAGCCCGGCCCGGGCCCAATGTGCTCAGCAAAAATTAGCCCCAGAGGCCTCCAAGGGGTCCATCGGGACCCGTTTCCATGGGCGTATCTGGGGGAACAAAACATGGCATAAACAGAACAACTCGGAGGTCCGAAAGGATTTCTCGGATCCGCGCCGAGGCCCCCCGGCGGCGCCTCCGGCGCCGCCCCTGGCGCGCTCCGCGCGCCAGGGAGGGGGGTCCAGGGCCAATCCGAGGAATCCGCGCGGACCTCCGAGTTTGTATGTTTATGCCACTTTTGTTTCCCTCGTTTGTATCTGAGCCGTGGCGAGTTTGTATCCAGCCGTGGCGATGAGGGGGAGGAGGAGGAGGAGGGGGAGGGGGAGGAGGAGGAGGCGGAGGGGGAGGGGGAGGAGGAGGAGGAGGAGGAGGAGGAGGAGGAGGAGGAGGAGGAGGAGGAGGAGCCGTGGCGATGTTTATGTCCGAGTTTGTACCCAGCCGTGGCGACAAAAGGTTCTCCAGGAGGCTCCACGCCGGGAGGGGCGGACAGACGCTGTCCCCCTCAAGCCTATTACCCCCCGCTGTCGCGTTCTCCGGCTGCCGCGTGCGGAGTTATTTGGCGGCGGTGCCGCCTCAAAACGCCGTGGATGCTGCGAACGATTGAAACCGGTCCTCTTGCACAGCTATGCTCTGGAGCTCGGACCTCTTCATTTTCGCTCGTCGTTCGCTCGTCGTTCGTCGTTCCTCTTCCCCCCAAGCCTCCCTGAGCTACCCCCAGGCCCCAGGCCCTCCCCCCCCCAGCCTCCCTGGCCTCCCCCAGCTCCTTTGTGCAAGAGCCAGGGCACGCGTGGCATTTGTAGTCTGTGTTTTGGCAACGGCGCCTTTGGTCAACCATTCAATGCACTCGGTGCGCTATGGGGATTTGGCAAGGGGCTGGCAGAATAGTTGCCCGCCAGCAAAAACGTGCGTTCGAAATGTTTACTTTGGCGGTGGCGTTGTCAACAACTACCCCACGGAGCAAGCCAAGCAAAATAAATCGGCGTGGAGAAGATCAGGCTCCACACGGAGTTGCATCCTTGATGCATCGGCGATGCGGCGCGATCCTCCGACCCCATCTACTCATACCCCTTCTGGAAGGCCTAGAGCGAAACCTTCTCAGACCCCCGACGCCATGATTTTTTCACAACGTCGACCCCCAAGGGTCTCGACACATTACCCGGGACTGGCTTCTCATCCTGAGCCGTTTTCTGACGGCCCCGACGGCCAGTGAAGGCCCGTGGGTGCCGCAGCGGGCGAAAAATCACCCGCCACGTTTCTTTCATCACCCGATGGGGTCTGGGCTATGACTTCCTAAGATCGGCGACGAGCCCGGAGGGGACATGAGAAGTGGCGGGCCTTCTCAGAAGTCTCGGCGATCCAATATAGCCTTCTGATAAAATGTTCTAAAAGTCTTCCCCGAGAAGATGCAGAACATTTCTCAGATGCCGAGACAACTTCTGAGTAGGCCCGCCGCCTTCTGATAATCGAGGAACAACAAACAGCAGAAACATAAACTGTTGGCGGACCGCGCGGATTTCTCGCATCTGCGCTTAACCCCCCTCCATGGCGCGCGGAGCGCGCCAGGGGCGGCGCCGGAGGCGCCGCCGGGGGGGAGGCCCGGCGCGGATCCAAGAAATCCGCGCGGGGACCCAGAAATTTACGTTTGCGGCGATTTCTCTCCTTCTCCTTCGGGAGAAAACCCTTCTCCTTCTCACGTCCCCCCCTCGCTCGCCAGCGATGAGAGTCACCCTTCCCCTGCCTCGCCTTAGGTCGGGCGTGTCCTCCTACAGGCGGATTCTGGCCGAAATCTGAAAAATAGGCAAACCATGATCAAACAGAGTCGAAACATAATCAAAATCTCATCCCCAGACTATCTTGCATTATTTTTAAATTTTACTCCTGTACAGGGACAGGCCCGACTTAAGCCTCGCCCCGACTTAAGCCGACGACTTGTTATATATATATATATAACACAAAAAACACAACATAGAATCAACAATGGTTTCAACAAATCAAACCCTGACCATTTTTTATATGATTTATGAACATTCAACCTGTACAGTCGGACTCGATTGGAGAGGACACTCGAGAGGACACAAGACCCTTCCGAGGGCCACATTGCCACAGGAGTGTAGGAAAATGGATCGCGAGACACAGGACACAAGGGTACCCTTGATTTGGCAAGGTCGACCTACTAATCCTGGCGGCCTGTATCGGGCGTTGGCAGAACTGGGTTTAGCGGGACATGGTTTAGTGGTGTGTACTGGGGGACGCCCCCCTGCCCCGCTCCACTAACTGGAACTGCCGTCACCCGAAAAAAAACAGCTACGGCAGACCTGGTTTAGCGATTCTGGCCACTTCAGGGGCTCCAGGGCCCTACCACGAACCGGGTCCCCTTACCTGGGGTCCTGGCTATGCCCGACTGTAATAAGGACACAAAAAGTGGCATAAACATAGAAACTCGGAGGTCCGCGCGGATTTCTCGGATCGGGCCTGGACCCCCCTCCCTGGCGCGCGGAGCGCGCCAGGGGCGGCGCCGGAGGCGCCGCCAGGGGCCTCGGCGCGGATCCGAGAAATCCGCGCGGACCTCCGAGTTTTTATGTTTACGTCACTTTCTTGTTCCCCTATGTAGAGGGACGTGCCCGAGTCGACCCTCCCCCTCCTGCTCCTCCTCCTCCTTTTCCTCCTCAGGAGCCTCCTCCTCCTCCTCCTCCTCCTCTCCTCCTCCTCCTCCCCTCCTCCTCCTCCTCCTCGTCCTCTTCCTCCTCCCCCTCCTCCTCCTCCTCCCCTCCCCCTCCCCCTCCCCCTCCCCCTCCCCTCCCCCTCCCCCTCCCCCTCCCCTCCCCCTCCCCCTCCCCCTCCCCTCCCCTCCTCCTCTCTCCTCCTCCTCCTCCTCCTCCTCCTCCTCCTCTCCTCCTCTCCTCCTCCTCCTCCCTCCTCCTCCTCCTCCTCCTCCTCCTCCTCCTCCTCCTCCTCCTCCTCCTCCTCCTCCTCCTCCCTCCGCCTCCGCCTCCTCCCTCCGCCTCGCCCGCCTCCTCGCGGGCCGCACGCCCGCGCCCGCGGCCCACGGCGCGGCGTCGCCCTCCGCCGGCGGCTCGCGC